TTGGTGTCTACGCACTGACAGTGATAGTTTTCAAAAAGCTGTGAGAAACAACGTTTCAGTGGAGGAGCCGAGCAAAAACAATCGTAGTTTACAAGTCTTGCGTCTCCGGTACGTCGCCTGTAGAGTTGTCCGTCTCGCGACCCGGGGCAAAATGACGGCGACTTCAAATACCGTAGTCTCTGATTTAAATTTTTATTACGTCGAGGACCGTGCACGGCATAAGTTTTCCCTGCTCCCAATCGGTCTGCTTTTTAGTGTGGTCTAGCTTTTATGCGAACGACTATCGTAGGAAGGTCAGCGCAATTAAAACTGGAGGGTAACTTTTTTGGTATTTTTGGAATTTGGTGACTTATTCTGGAAGTGAAAGCGTCGCTAAATCGCGGCGCAATTAGTCGTCGAGGACAACACATTGCTAAGTGTGGCGATAGTTTTTTTTTCTTTTTCCAAAAGAGCAATCAGTCACACTCTTGAAATAATTGGAAGCTTATCAGGAAGGGACCTGAAAACCAGAGTGCCGTGGAAAATATGAACTTGGAACCGTTTTCTGAGACTTAATTCTGTTGGGGTTGTCACGCGACTGATCTTTGGATGAAAACTCGTGACAGACACACATGATTCACTCCCTGTCCCGACCAAGACAGACCACGGTTTAAGGTCCAAAGGGAGCTGTGCCCTGTTATGGTAATGTCGCTGGTGTGTGAACTGTATATTTTCATAGGTAATTAGAACACGGTTACTGTTGTTGTTGATATTGTCGTGCGTTGTTGTTGTAAAGGGTATAGCGAAGAACAATAGTGGGTTTATTATCACGACAGGGACCTCCTTTTGTAATGAAACCCGATTGTGTCATTCCCATACTTGTTTCTTTCGTGTTTTCGTATCTGTTAATCTTATCTTATGTCATTACTTGTCGGTTATTTCATTTAATGAAAGGATATAATAGTTTCATAGGTTCATTGAAAAATTATTTGCTTAAAAAAAAGTAAAAAGCAAGGGTTTTATCAATCGAAATTTAGACAAAAAAAAAACATTGTCTCAGCCCTTTTTAAATAGTATGTCACTTTTAGTTTCGTATTGTCTCTAAGTGATTATTGTTATTGGTCACATTCAGCAGTAATGAAAGTTTACTTACCGCCAATTACCACTCATTACGATTCATTAACTTTCCCGCCCTCTGGCAGGTATGAGGTAAGCCGCGTTTAAGCGATTAACGAGGGAAAGGTCAAACCGACTTGGCGGGTTAACTTCACGTCTTAAGTACCGCCGAAAAGAAATAATCAAGATTGGGCAAAGTTTTAGATATACCTATATGAACGGGCATTCGACGGGATTGAATGCGTAGTTGACATTTACATTTAACGGGTTCTCTCTTTGAAATAAATCAAATTGTGTTCTTTGGGAGTTATTTTTAAAATAATGATTTATCATACCATTTTGAAGGAGAAGTGGTGAAGCCATGAGAAAAAAAACGTCCATATTTATCACATTTAAAGAAAAACAAGGGCCTGGTGTAAATTACAATTGCGGGACATGTTTGTGAAGGCTCTTAATACATCCTGTCTTCTTTTAGGGGAATAATTCAAAGAAACCGCGGAGAAAATATTGAAAAAATAATTTGATAGTCACTAAAATAATGGTTTAACAGCGATCCCGATATAGTTTTTGTTTAGGGAAATACATTTATTTTGTGAGTTTGCAAATAAAGTTCGTTGACGCTATTTGCAGTTAACTGACATAATCTTAGTATTACCGAATAAAATGGTGTCCTATAATAAGCACCCAGTTTTCTTGTAAATAGCCTTTTCAGCAAAAGTGACATGACCACAGATGCTTATTTGCAGTTAAGAGAAAAGCTATCATTTGAAGTTAGAAAATTAACTTCACCAACTGCCAGTGACACGTCGACTCATTGAAAAAAAAAACACCACTATTAAATGGCGTTTCTCAGTAGTGATTATTAAAGTATTTGTACTTGTAGACAGTGGCAGGTCGAGGTATATATTTAGTTGTGAAATATGTTGCTATGCATACTTCGGTACGTTACTGGTCATGGCTATTGGGTTTGCAGATGTCATCATGAAACAAGCCCTTAGTGTATTTATTACTCCTTTCTCTGGGAAAATTTACCATTTTAGCGTGCTGATTTACGTTCGTGATGGCGTTGACGAGTGACAAGCTATAGGAAACTGCGGATGTCCGTGCTAACCAAGATAGGTACATTCACCATGTGGCTTCCCCCCTTTGTTTGAGCAGCCATGATTGCAAATAGCACCAAAGGACTTTTCTGGAACATAGAATATTAAGGGCCAAAAGACACTTGTAAGCATGACAAAGAGAGGCGTTACGTTGCTTTAAACATTACGTCATATCGTCTGTTACGTCACGTACGTCTTTTAACTTCGTTATCGAAAAGTCGACATTTTATTTCCCTGGAGTCCCTTCCTTACACAGTCCCCTTAACGTCTTCCCACACCCCACGCCCACTTTCAGTGATAAAGCTAGACTTTTTTATTTATTTATTTATTTTTTTTGGGGGGGGGGGGCAGGGGGGGATGTGAGAACCGGCGGATTTGCAAATAGAAAGCAACTTTCAATTTAGAATTATTTTTTCTCTATTAATTTCAACTGCAGAAAAACTTGACAGATAAAAATATATAATTCATATCAAAATGTTCAGAGTGAAAGATCCCCAATCGCACAGCCTATCTAAATGTGCCTTCTACTTTTTTGTTAAATTGATATATATTTTTCTACTTTAAAAGATTCCATATCGTATCCTAATCAAATTGCTTTAAACGGACTCTGGACACTTTGGTACTCTGGAAACCCTAGAATCAACTCCTCTCTGGTTTTGTCGGGCGTAACTTACATGTAGGAAGTTAGCAAAACGTATGATAGTAAATAAAGGAAAGGGATGTAATTAGGTTTTAGGGAGCACTGACACATGCGCGCACGTGTAAATATATAAAAATATATATATTCATCTCAGCTTAACTGTACTTATTTATCAATCTGATTTTCTGTGTTGAATTGGCACAAACTTTTAGTTTGTAGTTTCGCTTCCTATCTCTTGCCCTGTTTGAAAGACCTTGGTTGTATTTTTGCAGAAGTTTTATGTTCAGTTTGCATTCACATTTGGAAGAAGCAAGAGAAAAATAGTACAGCAAAAGAAATTACTCTCTTTAAATGGGGGCTTTGTTTAAATATTGACGACAGACATGAAGTAGTTCCATAGGCCACATCACAGGTACACTTGAAAGTAATTAGTGCGCATTTTTCTGGGATTACTCAACTTCGAAAAAAATGCCAACAATTCTTGAGACGGGCGTGGCCTCCAAAACCCAGACAAAACGCAAATAATGGCCGTAAATCTGCATATTTCCACTAGATCTGAAGTCGGTAAAAAGTCTGGAAAGCAATTTCACGTCAGTTCAGAGACTGAGTAATTGGTCTTGAGTCTCTCTTCTCCAAGCCACCTGGTCCTTTCTCAGCATCCTGAAAACACTTTGAATATTCGTTTCCGGGCTGTAAAAAACTACTAGACAGGTTTTATACCATAGGTAATACAGCAAGTATTAATTATTAATAGATCTCTTGTTTTGATATATGCACAAAGGTGTGCGGCGATATACAAACAAATATCTCAGAGAAGAGGGCTTAGTGTCAAACGTGACGAACACCACGCCAAGCTGTTTGTGTAATAGTAGTCAATTCATATTCATAATCGAACATAATTATAAATAATAGTCTGCGCGACAGATTAAGAAGGGATTCTTGAAAAGTGACATATTTATAACAGTGATTGTGTCTTCTATTTTTTTTTTCATATTTCTTACGGGAATTTTCTATTCAAATGAGCCTTTTTAGATGAGAATTAGTCTAGATAGAAAGGGTGTTATATTTTAAATGAACGAAATAACGCATATATATTACAATTAAGGTGAATTGATATGGAGATTTTTAAAATTGCTTTTGAATGACTTTTATTTGTGGACTTAGTTTATATCCCTCCCACTAGTAATATACCAACGGTATCACAAATATGATAACCCCGATTTTGTGATAGGGCTGTTGAACAGAGGTAAGGTGAATTGTGTTTACTTTCCATGCCTGAATTTACGAGTCCTTACTTTCCTTCGGATTTTTACACCTTTTGTCCCTCTTTCAGTTTCAATTGTGTTTCTTTTTTTTTTCTTGAAACATTTCCCCAATGCTTGCAAGGATCTTTCTCCCAATGTATTCATGTATTTATGTATGTTAGTAGAGTACTTGGCAGCGTTATCAAGAAGATTCTTGTCGTGGGTGGGTAGAGATGGCAAGGAAAAACGCCCACATCAACACAGTTATAGGATACGCGGTGTCCATTATCATGCCAGATCATCAGTTGGTGATGGTTGTATTTTGCAGTAAAAAATACCTAGGAAATCGCTATTGGGGACACCTTTCCTTAGTTGACAATTTCGATCCACAACTACACGCCTTCCACTACGTTCACGAAAAACGCGTGAGTGAAAGAATTGTGTAGTCTTTAACTCAGTCGATTGATTCTTCTAGCAAGGATCCCCGGCGATCGGAATTGCAAGAGCATCATGGGATACCCTACAGTGGTCCCAGAATCCCCTGGGGGCGGGAGAGTCATTTATTTTCAGAAAAAAATTGTATGTACTTTGTCAAGGAAGGCAGACAGAGTAAATATTTTCTAAGACATCTTACATGTTGGGGATCATCGGCGGGTGATGTGTAATATTAAAGTGAAAGAAAGTAGTGGTCAGGTTCAGAAATCATTTGGACCTCGGAAAACAACATAGCTTTTTCATTCACTAAAGTGTGGTTATTAATATCATTGCTATTTCAGATCTTCTTCACAGAAATATTCTATTTTTATTTTCAAAATGGGTTCCCACACACTGAAGTGACATAGAAGTCGGATAAAAACTAACAGTGAAGAAATGATTCATTTTTCAAAAAATGTAATTTTTCTTCTTTTCTTTTTTTTTCAGAGAGCCATTTCTAAGTATAGGCGGGAGCTCAAGCAAATATTCCCACACACGGTTTGGTTGAGGCGAAGCATGAAAAGTACAACTCCGTCGATATAAAGCTTACTAATTGACCGTGGGTGCCGACAGAATCGCCCTTAACAGGGTTTCGTCGAGAGGGGCCCATTAAACCATTCAGACCAAGAGGCGGGACAGCATTAAACGACTAGCAAACACTGCGAACCAATCGCGTCATCTGTCACATCTCGACCTGTTTGGATAGCGGGGTTTGTTTGCTCTGTGAATTTTTCCCGTGTCGCTCCGTTATTAATATCCCCAACGTGTGCTTTTGATCAATACGGAGTTGAGCAACGGCTGGTCAGGTGAGCTAAGGCAGGGGAGACAGCTAGGAGCAGAGAGGCTAAGTAAAGCCAGTTTTACACCAGAGAGTGAGTGGAGTTGCTTTTTTTTTCACGCCGGACTCTTCAGTGGTGACAACTTATCGACGCAACTTGTCGCCGTTAACAGCCAATCGAATTTATTTTATTTTGTTATTTCTCTTGTGATTGAGTCGGGGTCCTCAAAGCAGCACGTCGTGGTGGGATATTTAAAAGGTTGGAAGCAGGACTGGGACCTTGTTCCTTCAAGAGACACGAGGATATCTGAGTCATGGTATGCCTCTCTGGGCCTTGTTTCTACTGGTTAGACCAGGTAATGCGACGAAAAGCGGACTAGTCGCCTCACGCACATGATTAATACTAGGTAGCGAAGGAAGGAGAGAAGGAGAGATTCGGTGTATTCGTTAAGGAGGAACAGGCGGTTCATTATCTTCACCCCTTCATCAGCAACGGCAGTAGCGTCAGGATCGCTACCATGGGCACTATGTACAAAGTCAGTCAACTTTGCCAAACCTTGGCTCTTATATTTCTATTACTCACACAGCCGTCCGTGCAATGCGGGCCGGGTAGGGGCTCGGGCCGAAGGGGGAAACCCAAGAAATTAACCCCTCTCGTCTTCAAACAGCAGGTCCCGAACGTCTCTGAGAACACACTCGGAGCCAGTGGTCCCGCCGAGGGAAAAATAACCGAGTCAGACCCGAGATATAAAGATCTGAAAGTAAATTACAACCCAGATATTGTTTTCAGAGATGAAGAAGGCACGGGGGAGGACAGAATCATGACGCAGGTAAGTGGAATCATCCGGTGTGTGAAAAAAAAAATCTGGATTTCAGGAAAAGAAATTCTGGATTTGGGTCTCGGCTGCTGCCGTGGTGTTTCACGGTTAGCAGGAGACAGGGCACCATACCTCCGAGATTTTCTTCGAGTGTAGCACCCCATTGACGTTCTATAAATATGATATATATTAAGATCGTTTACAAGTCCTGGACTTTGGTCGTAACATCACGCTTAGGACGTGCTACTATTTTATCTCCTCTAGTACTTAGTTATAATACTATTTAGTCCCCCCGCCCGATTAACGCTAGTATGAAATGCCACCTATTTAGCACTCTTCATCTAGATAATGCCGTGTAATATGAGATTATGACATTTTGCAGAGCGCTTATACTAGGACTGTTTACTATATTGATATAGGGGATCACGGAGGAATAGAGGTTCAAAATCCCTATGAGTACTCGGAGTACACGTTTCATTCATCGTCCATGTTGCTCTCTTTCTTTCTCTCTCGGGCGATATGTTTGTATTGTAGTCTACATGCCGGCTAAGTTATTGAGAGATTGACAACGCTGACATCTGAAAGTTTATTATCGCAGGGATAATTCACTGAAATGGATTTATTACTTTCACAAACCTACTAAGGGATATTTGGCTTATTGGCGTGGGGTTTGTCAAAGCCAAATAGCGATTTTGTAAAATAATGAAATAATGCGCATATAAGTTATTAAGAATTAGATTAATTCTTAAACGAGAAAATCAATTACGATCACGCATTTGATAGAACGACTAATGAGCCGACCTGCTAAGCAGCTCCAAACTTTCATATGAATTCATATTTGCTGTAAAAGACTTTGTTGATAAGATAAAATGTGTCAAGAGTACAGACCGATATCAAGAGAAGTTTGTAATGGAGGCCTTCCGTTTTACTCGCATAGTTCAAATATCCATTGTGAAATACCCGTGGTTCAAACGAGTCCACTCAAAAATACAGTGTATTACAAATTTTGAATGTTTGTTTTTTATAATTGATCACATTTTTGTTAAACGTTGAAAAAGAGATAAGAGAGGAAAAAATGATAAATAGTTTACAGCTAAATGTATTTATTAACGGTCTTCGAACTTCAGCACATTAAAAGTAGCAGGCAGACGTGAGAGTAAGGTCACTGTAATTTCATGGCTTCTCATTTTTGGAAGAGTAACGTGGGGTAAATCATATCTTTCTAACTATGAGAAAAACAGCATAAATTGTGCCGCAAAGAGCGGAGAATCCTACCAGAATCGCGTGAAAACGACTATCCTGGCGTCTAAGAGCTTACTAAGGGTGTGCAAGTAAGCTTAAATGATCGGGTCGCGCCCCCGTGTTGTGCCTATCGAAAAATCGGTAGAGCGAGTGTGGCAAGCTGATAGTCTGGTCGAACATTTCGGGGTTCCTTTTTCTTGTCACTTCATCGTGGCATTAGGAAAAAGAGTAAACCACTCACCCATTCAACCAGATAGTCAAACAAATAAAAAGCATTAATGTTTAATACCGCGTTGTTTAGATTTGTACGTATATGTTTCAAAAGTGTATTTAACTACCAATTCAGGTATGTCATTGAAACTGATTGCCTTTCTTTCGTTCTGCGTCACTATATCTTGGGAATATTAAATATGCGCCGTCAAATATTTCAGTTTGTTCATACGTGAAATGAATAGTATGAGCGATGTGGAGTATTTTAACTTCAGATTTTTGGAAAAAAGTAAAGATAATAAGCCCATAGACCTGTTTCTTGATTTTTTGTGCTAAAATCCCGATTTCTGCATTTTCTTTAACAAAGTATAAGGTTTGGTTTGATCCATTTTGATATTAATATGTCGATTAAATTGCGCAATACACTTTTTTAAATATAAATTATTTTAGTGTATGAGGACTTCTTCGCTTTATGTCAACTACTGGCGGTATGAGGACATATGCCCATTTTAAAATGCTGTACAAAGTCTTGTTAAGCCATATGTGAGAAATCGATCGATTTGACATTATCTTTGACTAGCTCCTGTGCATTGTGTATCGCCCCGCACCACAGATGTACTTTCAAATCTCCATGTACTTGACTCAGCCACCCGTCTTAATTTGAGTGAAGTTATAAGGTGTTGAGCTTAATTTTATTTTGTGTGATTGTCGGCGAGGTGGCAGTGGTATCATTGAGAAGCCCACGCATCGCCACCTTTCTGTTGAAACTACTGCTGTTACCATATGTTCTAGTGATTTAATTTCTACTTTTCTTCGCTTGTATTTTTATCAGAATTGCTCAATTCTGTCTCAGTGTTATTTTGAGGCATTGAAAATAATTTGCATGTGAAGTGTTTTTTAAGTTATGTTTAAAAAATTGTAAAAATCATTTTATGAGCTCGGCACTTCTACAGTCTTCGGTATAATAATTACAGAATTTCTAAAAAACACGGTGTGCCTTTTTCTAAATTTTCCACAATTTACGCAAAATGTAGACTGTGAGCGCGTAGGGCGAAATACGCCTAAAATCAGTTTTTTATTGAAGTTAAATAAAGTCTACTACATCCTCTAAAATATTATCTCCGCAAAATATTCCTTTGATTTTGTCTCCCTTGAGAGTGTTGCGCAAGCTAAGTAAAATATCAGTCTCAAGAATAGCTTCTCGTGGTTACTAAAATCGGGTTGCGATTTACTATCAAATACACTAGATCCCCAAACCCTCCAAACTCACTCATTTATAGTGCATATTATTAATATATCGTAACCAATTCGTACATCAAGTAAGCTTAGATATGACCACGAAGGCCGGTTGATCGGCCTACGGAATTGGAAAAGTCGGAATTGCTTAAACCGCTGAATTAATATGATTAGGTTTTATGGACACTTTAAATGGTCGATTAGGTCACGCGTAGTTGCATCATGTCACTATGTGCGTGAAAGAAGTACAAACTATATAAAGAAATCAAGGTAAAAATAAGTGCAGCTAGTCAAAAGGTAGGCTAATTTTGTACTTCAGTCAATGCGCCGGGATATCTATACAGCGCTGCCACAGCGGCAGGATGTTAAGACGCAGAGATATTTGCACTGCTTTGAAAACGGTGTTAAAACTCGCTTACGACCAATTTGTGTTCTAAACACCTTCGCTCAATGGCACAACTAATGTTGTCAGTACTCGGGGAATATTTGCTGTGGCAAAAAAGTTAATTACACCCAATGAATGGGGAGCGCATACGCGCCTTTGCAACCCGTTTTCACGCCCAAGTAGCTTAGATCAACATAAAAGTATAAGTACTGAAACCCTATAGACCGGCGCTTGTCCCTTTCCTAACAAATTGTGTTGATCGGAGTATATTACTTAAACCGACACGTTGTTTTTGCAACGAGCAAATTTACTTCTCATAATATTTTACCGGTTCTTAGGTGTCGAGCTATGGACTACAGGTATTGTTAGGGGCCGTTTCGTGGTGTAGTATATCAACAATGATCAGGAAGAAGAATGTGAGAGGACAGGGGAAGCAGTGCCTTTGCGTACCTTTATTAACTAATGTCCTGGTTCACGGGTCGTTTTCCGTGGTGTCAGTCACTTTTTTAAAAAGGCGGAGACGAAAACACGGGTATCCGATCCACTGTTAATATTGTCATAGACCTAGACCCTCGTGGATTGGTGTTTTTTCCTCGCCAAACACAAAAAGCGACTTCGTTGTTCACCTTGATAGACGTTTGTCTTTTTTCTGTCGAAGACAATTCGAGTTTAAGTTAACAACGTCGGTCACCAACCTCTCGACTCGAGTGTCTTTTTCGTATTGATTTTTGAGCAATATTTGTTGTAAATTTCACGCAAATTTCACTCGTAAAATTTGACACCCTCTCTCAACCGTGTTCCCTTCTTAATTTGGCTGAAATTCTGCACCTTCTGAACCTACTTAATCATGCAGCTTTTATAGACGGGCAAACAAAAAAGGGTATGAACAGGGGGATAAGTATAACTCAAGACGCATAAAAACCTATCAGAATGTTTAATATAGTCGGCAGCTCACCCCCTGCCTGGGTCTAGGCTTTAAGGGGACCATAAGCCCTTTTCGACTTTTAAAAGTATATTGATTTAAGTCGGCTGCGAGGAGCAGCGATAATCGGCCACCTCAACCTCCTCACACGCCGGTTGGTGGCGTATAATAGCAATAAACTACATCTTCGCTTTTTCTCCTTTCTTTGCATTGTTGTTGCTATTGTAAGTGATTGTGGAAAAGAGAAAGACGTCCACACAGCGGGGGTTCATAATACTTAATTCGCACAAAGGAACCTGATCAATTTTTTGCATTGTAAGCGTGAGACGGGGTCGAGAGGGTGAAAGGCGCTGTATTGGAAAGCTATCTTTTCCCATTGTATGTTCACTGTCTCGATCGCCGCCATTCGATTGCTAATAAATAAGTCTTTAGAGGCACTTAGCTTCTTTACACTTTGTTTAATGGGGCTAATTCAATCTACAATTGCAGAATTTGGGATTAACTACGTCAAAAACGTGTTTTGATATAATATACGGCGTCCTCGATGATACTTGAAAGATAAAAGAAGAACATTCCAGCGCAACTATGTGTCAACTAACGTCTAGATTTCCAGAAAGGCTATTTCCTTGTTTTGCAAAAAGAGAATGAAATTAGAATGAATTAAAAAAACAATTGGCTTCAATTTTGAACGCGGTAATTATTGCAAACTTTTGTCTCTGTCTTCAAAGTGAAGCGTGTACCAAAAAATCTTCTTGAAATATATATATTTTTTTGATTTTTCTGGATAATAAACAATACTTATGCAGCTCTATCTCCATTCTGTTGAAAAGACTTATCGTGCACTTAAGACGTTTCACCGAAAATATATGCAAATAAAAAAAAGCCTCTTCAGTAAGACCCTCAATCATAAATATATAATACATATGCTGTTTGAAGTAATGAATATAACTAGTGATTAGAATAGTTTTAAGTTACAACTTTTAGCAAAACAGCAGCTCTTTTAATTTGGCAATGATA